ACAATAATAATAAACTAATGAGCCAGGCATGGTAGTGTGCAGTCCCAACACTTTGGAGGCTGAGGCAGGAGGATAGCCTCAGGTTTGAGGCCTTGGGCTACATAGTGTAAGGCCAGCCTAAACTACATAGCAAGACCCTGCCTCAAAAAAACAAAAAAAGAAGACTTATGATTAAAAGTCTTTTCCAGGCACTTCACACATCCCCCAGACTCTTATATGACCCTGGAGAGAGGGATTCTGTAATGACTAGGATTTAATTTCCGCAACTCAGTAAGGTCCGGGTCAAGGTAAAGGCAATTTAGAAAATATATAAAAGTGGACAACATGGCTTACACATGCAAGTTCTGAGCTCTACTTGCTATGCAGGGTTGAATTCATTTTTTCTCCCTCACAAATACTTTCCTGCATTCTTACCTTCACAGCAAGCATTTATCCTCTAGGCATTGGACTAAGGGCTCTGAGATGCAGAGAAGAAAAACAACATTGGCTTTGGCCTGCAGTGCCTCACAGCTAACTCTTAGATCACAATTGCTGTTTACTATACACTCGCTGTCCATCACCCTCAATCAGCCCTGTGAGATAAGTGCTGTTATTATCATCTGTTTGACAAGATAACAAAACCAAGGTACAACCAATTTCACATGAGCTAGGAAGAAGCAGAGTTTTGAATCTGAGCAGCTGGGTTCTGGAATTGGTACTTTTTTTTTTTTTTTTTTTTTTTTTTGGTCTTTTTGAGACAGGGTCTCGCTATGCAGTTCAGGCTGGCCTTGAGCTCACTTTGTAGCTCATGCTGGTCTCGAACTCACAACTGATCCTCCTGCCTCAGCCTTCCGAGTGCTGGGATTACAGTGTACACCACCACGCCCAGTTTTGTGAGACTGGATCAAACTCAGGGCCTTTGCACTGAACTACATCCTGTGCCACCCCCACCCTTTTGAGACAGGGTCTTACTAAATCACTAAGTTGCCCAGGCTGGCCTAGGACTTACTTGTGATCCTCCTGCCTCAGCCTCCTAGACTGCTTGGACTGTCGGGTGCACTACTACGTCTGGCTTGGAATTGGTATTCTAGTTTGTACATCATATTACTGTACCTATCCAGTGTAGTGGAGGGTGGATATATAAACGAAATAATCAAATATGGAGCACAGTATACAATGCATAGGGTACTAGGAGAGCACAGAAAGAGACCTTCTCAGCTCAGGCTTCGAGGAGCCTTGAGGAAAGCCGTCTCTGAGACGAGGTGACACCTGGGCAAGTTTGGAAACTATGAATGGACAACAGCTACACACTGAAGAGAGGAAAGAGAATTCAGCCCTGGTGTGCGGGGGAACCCAAACCCTTATATCACTGGGATATAAAATTCAAGGCGACTGGGCTCAATGACACACATCTGTAGTCCCAACTACTCAGAAGGCCAAAGCAGGAGGATCACAAGTTGGAGCCCAGCCTGAACAATTTAGCGATTTAGATAGACCTTGTCTCACAATTTAAAAAAAAAAAAAAAAAAAAATTTAAAAGGGTACGTCATCCCAGCATTTGAGAGGCTGAGGCGGAAGGATCGCCAGGAGTTCAAGGCCAGCCTGGGATACGTAGTGAGTTTGAGGCCAACCTGGACTACATGGTGAGACCCTGTCTCAAAAAACTGAAAATAAATAAATAAATAAAACAAAAATAAAAGGCGGGGGGGGGGTTGTCGCTCAGCGCAAAGGCCTTGGGTCCAATTCTCTGCTATAGTAAATAAATAGGGTTAGGGATGTAGCTCACCGCTTCCTGGGTTCAACTCCAGTGTGGGGCGGCTACCAGAGGGGAGAGGGGACGGATCCTTTGCTCCCCAGGTGTTTACGGAGCCCTGCTCTGTGCAGGCTCTGTTTGGTGCTGGGCGTATAGCGGGGACAGATCATGTGAGGACCTTGTGCTTTCATACATTTTGCTCCCTTACCTACTACAATAATCATTTTTTAACATGTTCCCTTATGCAAAATGCTGAACAGAATAAGAATAGTAAGGAGCTTCCTCAACTCGATAGAGTATGTATGAAAACCTATAGTCAACATCATATTTGATCATGGAAGACCGGATGCTTTCCTTCTAAGAGCAGAAGCAAAAGCAGGGTGTTCACTCTTGCCACCTGTATTTAACACCCTGTTCTCCCAAAACAAGACCTAACCGGAAAGTAATCCGTAGCATGGTTTTTCAGGATGCTTGTAATACAAACCCTACCCTGCAAATAGCCCCAGTTTTGTTTGTTTGTTTGTTTTCGGTATAGGGAATTGAACTCACGACCTCGCGCATGCCAGGCAGGCGCTGTGCTGCTGAGCTAAATTCCCAGCCCCTACCCCCGGTTTTGATTGTCAGCCAGATGATACATTTAGTATGTCTGTTTCAGCACACAACAGACCCAACCAAAAAATAAAAAATAAGTAAGTAAATGAATAAATAAATAAAAAAGCTGGGCATGGTGGTGCACGCCTGTAATCCCAGCACTCGGGAGGCTGAGGCAGGAGGATCATTGTGAGTTTGAGACCAGCGCAGGCTACAAAGTGAGCTCAAGGCCAGCCTGAACTGCATAGCGAGACCCTATCTCAAAAAGACAAATAAATAAATGAAGAAATAAACATACAACAGACCTGTTGAATTATGACAATGTTCCAGAAGATGACATGACTGTATTTGAATAAATGTAGATTTTTTTTACAGGAATAAATGAATAAATGTAGGTGGTTGTACATAAAAAAAAAATAAGACAGCCCCTGAGAATAAGCCCTACTATGTCTTGGAGCAAACATTAATATAAGAGTCTTATTTTGGGGGGAAATACAGTATTGTGGAACTTCTAGCCAGGACCAATGACTAGGAAATTAAAAGGCATACAGATTGATAATTTTAAAGTAAAATGGGTACATTACAGTTTTGAATGTCATTCAAAAGAATTCAGATGCTATAGCAGGGCTGGGGATTTAGCTCAGTGGCAAAAGCGCCCACCTGGCATGTGCAAGGTCGTGAGTTCGGTTCCCGGTACCGGAGGAAAAAAAAAAAAAAAAAAAAAAAAACTAAACAGATGCTATAGCAATTTGATATGCACCATTGTCTCAGTCACTTTCTTCCTCATTGCTGGGGCAGCATATCGACACCTACCACCTAAAGGAGAAGAGGTTTATTTTGGCTAATGTTTTCCACCCGTGGTTTGCTGGCTTCAAGGCAGAAAGGCAGGGGCAGAATGGAGGAAAGCTAGTCCCATCATGGCAGCCATGAAGCAGAGTGGAAGGGACCTGGAAGAGAAATAAACTCTTCCGGGTCACACCCCCAGTGACCTCCCTCTTTGGACCAGGACCTTCCTCCTCCTAGAAAGTCTACCGTATCACCAATGTGATTCAGTCACCTCCCAGAAGCCCCACCTATGAGTGCTTGAAATCATTAGGGAAGAGTCTCATTCCAAACTCTAGCAGCCAGCTTCCAATTATGTATTTATTCTTAATTTTGGGGCTGGACTTTGAATATAGGACCTTGTACAGGTTCCACCCCTGAGGTATGCTCCAGTTCATCTCCATTTATGTGTATTGAGAACATAAAAGCACCATTTATACCTCTAAAAAATTTAACACAACTAATTCCATTTTCTCCTCAAACTTGCATTCTATTCCCTTTGCCCCTCACAGTTTACCCTTAGCTAATTTAAATTTATGATGTAAAGTCCTGTTATACTTCCCTGCCTTGTAAGTATATATTTACATAGAATTTTACTTTTGAAAGCATTCCCTGGGAGCAGGGCATGGTGGTACATTCCTGTAATCTCAGCACTCAGGAGGCTGAGGCAGGAGGATCTTTGTGAGTTCGAGACCAGCCTGGGCTACAAAGTGAGCTCGAGGCCAGCTTGAACTGCATAGCGAGACCCTGTTTCAAAAAGAAAAAAAAAAAAAAAAAAAAAAAGCATTCCCTGGGATTATAATTCTCCAAAATGTGCCTTACCTATCATTGTAAATATTATTGCTGCATGATTTATTGAAGTAATACATAGCATTATTTAAAATGATTTTTATTTTTAATGAAATTGTACTGCAAATGCATCTCAGAGCAGTGATAAGTGATTTTTTTTTCGGGAGTCTTACACCATACTATTTTTTTCCTAAGAAACTTGTTAGATAAAATGACTAGATAGGAATGGAAAATAATTTGCTATAGCAATACTATTCAGAGCTTTTGAAACTCTTTTCCAGTTAATGTGCCAAAAATCACATAGTAATCACCAGAACTTAATGCCTTATCACTGGCAGCCCCAGGAGGTCCTGATTCAATTTTGTTGAAAAAGAAACAACTGGAAGTCACCTGACTTGCCAAAAATAAAAAGTGTTAGCCAATCATTAAAGTCACTGACTTTCACTGGGTGTGGTGGTGCATACTTGGGAGGCTGAGGCAGGAGAGTTCAGTGACAAGGCCAGTGAGTTCAAGGCCAGCCTGGGCTCCATAATGAGTTCAAGGCCACTCCTTGGAAGGCAGGTTGCTCCATTAAAGGCTGGGTGGTTTGCTTTATCTCCAGGGCCTTTGAAAGCTATCAGATGGGTAAGAGGCACTCAGTGAGGGCATCGGGGATGTGATAAATGTGACGTTACCAGCATCTGGGTGTGTATTGGATGCCAGGAGAGGAGGCATCCCTTGCACTGATTTGGGTTTTTCAGTCCAAAGCCAGTAAAAGCTCACCTTCCCTCAAATCTAAGAAGCAGCAGCATGGATCAGAGGAAAAAGTCCAAGCTAGAATTCAAACCAGGCCTGAATTCTACTGTTCTGCTTTGTTTGCTTTTTGTTTTTTGAGACAGGAGTGTTGCAGTGTAGTTCAGGGTGGCCTTGAACTCACAGTGAGGCCTCCTGCCTCAGCCTCCTGAGTGCTGGGATGATGGGTGTGCACCACCACATCGTTCTACACGCACCCCTCTGCTGGAACCCCGCCCACTTGACATTCCCTTAGGGAGGCAGGATAAAGAGAAGAGAGCAGGTACGGGAAGGATCCAAAGGTAATTAGTTATGTTTTATTTGAGCCTCTTCTCTCTGGAGCAAGGGAAACAGAAATGAGAGATGGGACAAACCCCAGAGTTCGAGGCATATTTAGAAGGAAATCCTTCACTGCAATATCGGCTGAAGGTGGGGTGCGGGGGGGGGGGGGCTGGGGAGGAATGCACAGGTCATCATTGGTATTTGGCAGTGCGGCCTAGGACCCCACTGCCACGTTAGGAGAATGCCAGCAGGTGCACGAGTCACAAAGCAAGCGCTGCTAGTTTGTGTCCGGTGAGGGCCTTAGGAACAAGCAACCCCTTTCGGGTGGGGAGGATTTGCCAGGTTCTCCGACCCTCTTTGCGACTCTCGTTGGCCTCAGATGAGCTTGAATGCAGGTATTTCTATCTCCTGTCCACTGATCGCGTCCGAGGCGAAAGCTGGGGCTGGAGCCGGGCGCTGGGAGGCTGAGGGTGATACACGGGCCGGTAGTGCTGCTGATGGCGTGTGGACACCTTCGACATGGCTTTGTGCTTCGGCTGCCTTTCCAGCTCCAGGTCAGTCTCCGTCTCATGCTCCGTCTCGGGCTCCGGCTCAGTCTCGGGCTCCAGCTCCGACTCATTGTCTAGGACCTGGTCCAGGTTGATGTTGAGACCCATCTCATTCGGCTCTTCTGACCCCCCAGTGTCGTCCATGTCCAAGTCAAACCCCAGGGACTCTTCTTCTGGATTGCGCTGTTTGGGGAATTTGGAACTTACGTTTCTGGAACTTTCTAGAAAACCATAAGTCGGTTCGTATCTGGTGTTGTCATCCTGAAATACACACAATTAGATGAGCTCAACTTTCCAATTCATTCGGCTTTTGAGCAGTCAAGAATTTCAACATACCACCAGACTTAAGGGATTTCTGGCAAAGCAGAAAACAATTCTTGCCTGAATCTGCTTTTCTTTTTCTTTCTTTCTTTCTTTCTTTCTTATTTTTTGGTCTTTTTGAGCAGGGTCTCGCTACACAGTTCAGGCTGGCCTTGAGTTCACTTTGTAGCCCAGGCTTGCCTTGAACTCATGGCGATCCTCCTGCCTCAGCCTCCTGAGTGCTGGGATTACAGGCGTGCGCCACCACACCTGGCTATTGAATCTGCTTTTCGTCTCTGCACATTTGGTTTCTCACTCGTGATTCTTCAAATTCAGCCTTTCACTTCAGATCGCTCTGGCTCTTCTAGCTAGACTGGGTTTCATGATCTACCATTTAAACAGCAGTGGCCTTGATGCCACTTGGAAATAGCTTGTCTCCTTGATCTTATTTAGTTCGCCAATCCCCAGTGCAAACCTTTAAGGCTCTTTGGGACCTGGCCCCGCACCCTCTTGGGCTGTCTCGGCGTGGTACCCAGCCTCCGCACCAGCCCCAGCTGCCCAGTGTTGTCTCGCGACTGCCCACCTGCACGCAGGCTGCTGCTCTACACCCACTCATCGCCCCGGGCGCAGATCCAAGGCTAGGCCCCCAGCCTCCTGCGTTCCAGCCGCACCTCTCGCACTGGCCTCATCGCACACCTGTGTATTCCTTTATTTACAAACCTGTCCCTTCCCCGGGGCCAAGATCCCTGAAAGGAGGCAGCACCTGGCTCCCAGTAGCCCCGGTGCCTCACTCATCTCAGGTGTGCAAAGGCCCCGTGCATCAGCCTCGCAGCAGCCCGTGCTGTCATCTCTGCTCTTTCAGCACCTGGCACACTTTCTGCTTTTCCTTCCTCCCTCCCCGTTTGCTGCTGACAGGTCGCTCCGCCCTCTCCTCTGCTGCCGGCCCTGGGTCCTGCTCCGGAGACCCTTATCTTCTCCGTCTACACTGTCCCTCTAGGGAATGTTATTTAGGCCTGTAATTCCTACTTACACTTACAGTCCGAGCCAGGGACCCTGGCTATGCTGCTTCCTGTGAGCCGAAGATGAACACACCCATTTTGGCTCTTGACATCTGCGCTTGGGTGTTTAGTGGGCATCTTTTTTTTTTTTTTTTTTTTTTGGTACCCGGAATCGAACTCAGGACCTTGCACTTGCCAGGCAGGCGTTTGTGCCGCTGAGCTTACATCCCCAGCCCGGGCATCTTGTATTTAGTACAAACCATGAATTTTACATATGAAATAGAACTTACTTCTCTCTCGGTCATCTCTCTTTTAAATGCCTGGAAAAAATTTTACATATTCAGTACCAATTCTTAATGTAAGTCTTCAAAAGATGTTAGCAAGAATGTTACTGTACGGAGGATCCAACCCAGGGTGCTCTACCACTGACCTACATTCTCAGCCCTTTGTATTTTTATTTTTATTTTTATTCTGAGGCAGGGCCTTGCTAAATTAATCCAGCAGGACTCAGACTTTTGATCCTCCTGCCTCAGCCTCCCTCAGTGCTGGGATTATAGGTATGCACCATTGTACCCGAGTTAGAGAAATACTTTAAAAGAAGTGTAGTCAGTAGTGCCTATCTTCAGCCAATTGCTAGCACTAACCCTAATACGGACACAAGAATCTTATTTCACAAAATTCAGGAGTAAGAGGACACTCATCACTAGTATTAAATTGTTCTGGGACTTCTAACTTAAGCAGCAATATATAATATTGAAATAAGAATTCTAACATAGAGGGGGCTGGCGATTTAGCTCAGCGACACAGCGCCTGCCTGGCAAGCACAAGATTGTGAGTTCAGTTCCTGGTACTGGAAACCCCCCTCACACACAAAAAAAGAATTCTAACACAGAAATTAATATTATTTTTAATGAATATTTTTCTTTATCAAAAACTCCAGAGAATTTACAAGGAAACCTGTTAGGATAAGTAAAACAACTCACAAAGGTGGCCAGATAATTTTGTAAAAATCAATGAGTTTCTTACATTTTAGCTATTGCCAGTTGGAATATCTAATGAAAAAAAAAAAAAGAAAAAGTCTGTGTTTTTTTTTTATTTTTTATTTTTTTGGTCTCTTTTTGAGACAGGGTCTCACTATGCAGTTCAGGCTGTCCTTAAGCTCACTTTGTAGCTCAGGCTGGTCTTAAACTTGCAACGATCCTTCTGCCTCAGCCTCCCGAGTGCTAAGATTACAGACATGCACCACCACACCAGGCTGAAAAAGGCTGTGTTTTATAAGCATGGATATTTCTTACTTTGGGAATTTTAAGAAACTTGGCATGATGGCACACACCTGTAATTCTATCACTCTAGGAGGCTGAGGCAGGAGGATCATAAGTTCAAGCCCATCCTGGGCAATTTTGCAACTTAGCAAGAACCTGTCTCAAAATTTAACAACAATAAAAAAAGACAGTGGGAAGACGGGAATGTAGCACAGTGCAAAGGCCCTGGGTTCAATCCCCAGCACTTCTCAAAACAAACAAACACCCCCAAACCATGACAGTAATATTTTTCTTGTCATAAAAATCCAAATGTTACTGAAATCTAATAAGTCAAAGAATCAGGAATTTGATTAAAAAATTGGGCCGAGAATGTTGCTCAGCGGCATAAGCACTTTTCTGGCAAGCCTGAGGTCATGAGTTCAATTTCTGGTACAAAAAAAAAGAAAAAGAAAAATAATTCCTACTCAGTAGATAATATCTGATGGCCAAAACTGGGTGTGCTGGCACACACCTACAATACCAGCACTTGGGAGGCTGAGCCGGGAGGATCACTGTGAATTCAAGGCCAGTCTGGACTACATAGCAAGACCCTGTCTCAAGAAAACAAAACAAAACAAAAAACCAAACTTATCTGATGGCCATCTATATTATAAAAGCGGATCCTTGAGTTACAATTGGCCTGACATATGAACAACTCAGGTTGTGACCGGAATTTTAGTTTTAACTTGGCAACCAGAGTCTTGACTTATGACCCGAACGCCAGCTGCGTATGCTTCCAGATGGTCTCAGATACAGATTTAACCCTTAAAGCGCTCTGGAAGAAACATTACCCCAGCCTCTCCTGCATGGACTGAATGGTGATATCCTGGACCCATGTCTCTCTAAGGACACCGGGATCTGCCTGTCACTCAAGGAGAGTGACTTTGTTTTCTTGTTTGTTTGTTTGTTTTTTGGTACCAGGAATTGAACTCAGGACCTTGTGCTTGCCAGGCAGGTGCCTGTACCACTGAGGTATATCCCCGGCTCTGTATTTTTTTGTTTGTTTGTTTTGTTTTGTTTTTAGGAGAGAGACTTTGAAAGCTGTGTAGAGGAGCCTGAGCCTTCG